ATACTTTGTGGTTAGGAAATGAAAGAGATACTTACCTCAGAAGTCTATAGCCAGCAGATAGAAATTGAGTGTAAATGACTATTATTAAATCAAATATTTCACTTAACTTGGCTGAAAGTAGGAAAACAATTTTTTGCCCCAAATTCCTTATAATAGGGAAATGGTAAAAAGTGAGAAGACAAGACAGTTATACAAGAAAAGCAGAACTAATTCCTTGTTATAGTTTCTCTTCCTGATTTTGCGGTAAAAGCAAATTAAAGAATAAAGAAATATTTAAAAGTTAAAGTCCATCACTGAGGTGAAGTCGTAGCACTAGGAGCTTTAGGAAGAAAGACATATAGTATCTGCTGTCAAGAAGCAGACAGCAACAAAAGTTTTGCTTACCTCACATTCTTCTTTTTATACAGTCCAGGATTCTCTGCCCCAAGGACTGATGTGATCTTCAGAAGGAAGTTCTTCTGACCTCAGTTAACCTAAAGTTTGAGATAATCCACATTGGGATTCTCAGAGGCCAAACATTCAGGTGATACTAGATTTCATCAAGTTGACAACTGAGATTTGACCATCATAAAGAGGTACTACAAGGCCGAGGAGTGGATAAACTACTTTCTTCAAAAGCAATGAAACAAAACAAAACAAACAAACAAACAAAAACTATACTTAAGATCTCCAGCAGCCATCTAAGACAAAGGTGTACTTGGTGGTACATTTGTAATACCAGCATTTTCTTTCCCTAGAGAAATCTGGCTATCTAGAATTGTTGGGTTGTGGGTTCAGCAGAAGACCCTGTCTCAATAATTCAAGTAGGAAACAATAGACATCAACTTTGGGCTCTCACACAGAAATCACAGACACATACACACATACACACAAGTAAAGTGTTTAATATAGTAATAGGAGGAATTGAATAGCTACTAACACAAATAAATAATAATCAGAACCTGTGAAATAAATGTTTACCTAAATGTAAGAAATAAAGTAAGGAAGGTTCTAGATGGCAGAGTAAGAAGGAAATGCTTTTAAGACTCATACAAAATTTACCATAAATAATAATGTAGGTAGAGTTCATTACAGTTTAAAAATCTTTCAATGAGGAATATTATTTAGAAATTGAAAAAGTAAATTAAGAACATGAAACAATACTTATAATGATACTTATACAATACTTACATGATTGATAATGGACTCATACACAATGTATATCAAAATACTGAAAATAAAATAAAATAAATAACATCACCTCTAAAGATGTAAGCTCAAAAGGACTATCAAATGGCTAGTAAATGTTAAAAATTTATTTAATTTTATCCATCATCAGGGAAATGTCAGGTTAAAACACTAATTCAAACAATAAGAGACCCTCTTGATTGGCAAAACTTAGAGCAACTCCAAATGTTTCTGTAGAATTTTCATCCACTGATGATTGATGTATAAATATCATTTTAGAATCCAGATTGGCCTTATCAATGATAACTGTATACATAAGCAATGAACCTTCAAGTACAACCATGTAGCCAGTAAATGTAATATAAAGAGAAACAATGACTGAAATATCTAAGGATTGGAAATAATCCAAATAAGCTACAGCTGGGATACAAAGTGAATACATTGTAATAAATACATAAATAAATAGATAAATAGATAGATAGATGATAGATAGATAGATAGATAGATAGATAGAAAATAATCCAAATAACCATCAACCACAGAATGAATAATCTCTTGCTTGCTATTCAGTTGAATGCTATTTAGCAAGGAAAATAAACTAAGGTTATTTACAACAGCATAGATGAATTCCATATATATATATACTGTTGAGCAAAATATGGGAGTAACAGCAATTCATACACTGTGATAGGATTCAGAGAAAGCTCAATACAGACAAATCCAAGCTATGAAATTTTAGGAACATATTATACTAACGGTAAATCTATAAATATAGACAAGATGTAATTTTCAGAAAACAATTTCTTTTTGGATAGGAGACAGTTATAGTAAGAATGAGACACATAAAAAAGGGTTGTTTTTTGGAGGGGGTGGAGGCTGGCATTTATTTCCTGACACTAGTGGTAGCTATACTGAGTTAACGTTAAATTATTCACCTGTTTATGTATGTCTGTTTTGTTTCAATAGTTCACATAATATTATACTTCAAAACAAAATGTTTAATGCAGATGGAAAATTTTATAAGGCCCCACCAATATATGAAGAAGTACTGTCAAAAAATGACTACTAAGAGGGTAATAACTTTTCTCCAGAGACAAATCCCTTGAAAGGTAATCTAGCCCCAAAAGTAATCTAGTTACCCAATGGTAAGCTCTGAAGAGGTGTACTTAAGTATAATACTAAAAGGAATCAGTTGGTCATGTGTGTGTGTGTGTGTGTGTGTGTGTGTGTGTGTGTGTGTATGTGTGTGTGTGTGAGAGAGAGAGAGACAGAGAGAGAAAGAGACAGAGACAGAGAGACAGAATAGGTACAGAAGGAGATGTCATGTATTTGAAACAAAATGAAGGGACACAGTAGGAGTTGAAGAGGGAAGAAGGGGTAAAAATGATGTAAATACATTACTCATATAGGAAATTCTCAAAAAAAACTTAAACAAAATGGCAATTTAATAAGTGAGAAATTTTAGAGATTATAAACTATACTTATTTTGTATTGTTCTACTATTATTCAAAATGGTACTTATTGTTTAAAAAATGTATAGCAGCAAACTTAGATTCATAAGGCAGCATTAAAGTACTTTAACCAGAGAATACTGGAAAACTCATTGAATGACTCAGAAAGTGAAAATAATAAAGGAAAATAGTGATAGCCAAAATAATTATGTAAAAAATGCATTATTTTATAAAATAGAAAGTAACGTCTGGTTACTAGATTTCACAGAGAAGGGAATGCCACCCTAAATCTCGGAGGGACCACTATACAGGCTGTGGTCCAGGACTGAACATAAAGGAGAAATTTCTCTCTCTCTGCTTCCTGACTTTAGATGATCTGTGCCACCTTCCCCACCACCAAAGTACAAAGCAAAATAAACCTTTCTTTAAGTTGCTTTTACCAGGTTTTTTATACTAGCAACAAGAAAAGTAACTCATACAATATCTAATATTAATGCCATATCATCGACTAGGTAGATTTTTTTTTTTTTACTTTTTTTTGTTTGTGTGTGTGTCCTGTGAAAGTAGTTTTCAATCCAAGTACAGATTGAAAAGAAACCCTCTGGAAGTTTTCTGTATAGAAACCATAGATCTCAAAAAGTAATAATCATTATTTTTTTAATTCTGAGCATTTAGAATAAAGGAGTCTAATTATTTGTATTTTTAAAATACTTCACTGGGGATTTTGACATGTAAAATTTTACCATGATTTCTTTTTTTTTTTTTTTTTTAATGGGCTGTCAGCAGATGCTGTCATTTATTTAAACTTTTAAATAAAAAAAAAAAACGTTTAAATGTTTAAAAACTGAAAGCCTGACCCTTCTCTCTTCACTGCTGTAGCAAGCCACTGGGGGCATCTGCAGTCCTGCTTCAACTCTGCAGGGGATAATAACCAAACAGAAGCTAGTAGCCTCAGAAAACCAGTCTTCCTTAGGAAGTAATCCTTAGAACGTTCTGGAACAAACTCAACATGAAACATTTCTTCTCCCACAAAACCTTGATACTCACACATTTTGCAAGGGGTGGAGCTTGCCTTTAATTAAACTGTTATTGTCAATTTGAAAAGATTTTATCTATACCACTGAGAGTTTCTTTGGATTGGTATTGAAATAACAGCCTCGCCTGTTTAATTACAGAATTCTAACATGATTCTTTTCCACTATTTTCATAAAAAAAAAACAAGCAAACAAAACCCCCAGACAAAAGGCTGTGTTAGTGATAGAAGACTGGTTTTAGAATCTGAACACAGTTATCCACTGGGAAAAACCGTTTCTCCTGCCTGAGCATCAGTCAGACATGTTAAAACCAATCCGTGTCCATCACATTCTTAACATAAAATAGGAGTGGATTCCTAGATGTTCATGAATAGAACTGGGGAACACTCAGAGCACAAGAGGGTTGTTTCTAATCCTTGAGAAAAGCCTACAGCAATTTCATATAGAATTGACAGAAAGGGGTACATCCTGTGCAGCTCAGAACGGGTACTTCAAAACCATCCTTTGTAGTTTAGGAGGAATAAGGATGCAGAAATGCAGGGATACTGTAACTGTTCTACATGTCACTGGCTATGTGAGAGCTACAGGGTGTCCTTGAAGGCCAGAAGCATGAAGTGAAAGAACAAGGCAGGGAAACCTGACAGCCACAACCCTGCAGGACCACCTGTACTGCCACCTGTGTGTGCCAGCTGCTGGCTGGGTGAAAGATGCTTCAGGGAGACAAAGGAGCTGTTCCTTGCTGCCAGCAGAAGTTTGGTTTTGGCTTCTTGAATTACTTGGTTTGGATGAGTTGTAGCTGTAGCGTACCCTGGTTCTCAGTTGTAATATCCAGAGAGTGCTGGGAAGCAAAGCTGCAAAGCTGTGGTTGAAAATCATGTTGATGTTAAACACATCTGAGTGAGAATTCAGACATTCACCACAAAACCCAGGCTTCTTAATGAAGAATGCGAGTACAAGTAATATGCTAGCTGTAGGGCCTCAACTTGGATATTTCTAGATGGAAACAGTACCATCAGTAGTATCACTCAAACCTGTGGTTGGACCCAACTGTGCCACAGAGTGTCCCTGTTGTAGAGGTTAACATGTTTAGAGGTATCGCGTCCATGGCTACACATCTGTTTCTTTCTGTGTATCCTGTTTTTGCTTATTTCTTGTGTGGTTTTAGAGTTCCATTTCTATATTCATGGCAGTAGTAGTTACCCAAATGGCTTGCACTAGAAAGAATTCTCCCTTCCACTAAGTTGCAGTTAAAGATGACACATTGTCTAAATCTATCTTCAAGTACTCTTTTGTGACTTTGAGGGCAACAGCAGTCCCTTATTGCACATCAGTTCCCAAGAGTTCGATTTTATGAGTGTGTATTGTTGGGGTTGATTACTGGGCACCGCAGGGCCCGGAAGCCTGGCAGGACCACCTTGCCCTTATGATGCAAATCTTCTTGGGAGCCCGTGTTCAGGGCTTTTCGTAGAGCAGTGGGTGGTATGCCCCAGGGTGCAGGCTGCATCGTAGTACAGCTCGTGGTAGTGGCAAAGCTCTGTTTGCCGGACAGAAAGGAAGTACTCATACACGTGCACTTCTCTGCACATGGACATCATGAGGAGGATTCCAATGAAACCAGAAGACGGTGGGTTGGGCTGTATCTTTTCCTTCGTGTTCTCCTGGATTATATCCCAAAGCTGCCATATGAATTTGGGGTGAAGAATGTAAAATGGTTGAGTTGGGTATCTCCAGCGATGCTGGATGTATGGAGTGAAAAAGTTGTAATCTGGCTTCTTATACCACAGGTTAAGATTAGCAGAATACGGAGCTGGGTCCCAGGCCACTAGGATAACATCTTTATATAAAGAACTGTCAAGGAAGTGATGACTGGGGTTGGCCAGAATCTGAGAGTTGATGATGCGTACTGTGGTTTTATTTCCAACATCTTTCTCATAGCCACGTGTAGGGGCAGAGTTAAATCTCAAAACTGCATCATGAGAATCGATTTCCTCCCCCAAGGAGGAGTTCAGGATGGCACCGGCAGACGTGACTACTGCGCAGGTGCGCAGGCCGCGTGTGTGCAGCTGGCTCAGAGGCACCCCGGGTACCAGAGGCCGCCAGCCCAGCGCCGAGAACGGTGCTTCCTTGCAGTCCAGCGTGCGCACACGGATGCGCCTTCGCAGCTCACACAGCAGCTCTGGTCCAGAGCGCCGAACCTCGCGCTGTCTGTGGAAGCGTACACCGTGTTTGTTGAAGGACATGTAGTAGCGCATGGCCTTCTGCAGGCACGGGTTCAGCATCTTAGAGGACACGGCGCCCTTCCAGAGCCGGTATAGGAAAGCTCTGGACATGGAGGAAGGCAGCATGTCGCTGTCATAGGCCTCCTCAAGCATTCTGCTTCGCCTTGCGTGGCGTGGCTTCTCCCGCTTGTGCTGGGTGGTTGCTGCCCGCAGCGATGTCTCCCCAGGAGACAGCCCCAGTGTGCCCTGTGAGTGTTGGTGCCAACCTGGTTGACCTGCAAGAAAAAAGTAGCCATCTTCCTCGGGGTTGAAAGCACTTTGTGATTTCCTCCCGACCTGATTTCCTCCTGATGAAAAAATCTCTTCTCCATTGTCAAAGCCATCTTGGGCTTGGTCCCATTTCTGTGGATCCCCAGGCCCGCTGGGGAAGGAGCTGGCAGGGTGGCTGCCCAGCAGCAGTTTTCTCGCCTCCAACGTTCTGGGCAAGGAGGGCTCCTGCAAAGCACCCATGATGGCCCACTGCTTGCCCTGCACAGGCAGGAGCGCACGGCTCTCCAGGAAGGAAAAGGAGCTGGGTATAGGTGCAGCAGGATGGCTGTTGGTGAAGTAGATGAAAATCGCCAAAAAGAGGAGTCCCCAAACAAAAATTCCAAAGAGCATTCGTTGTCGCCATTGTTTCAAGGGCGGTTTCATCGCAGACCCATGGGGACAGCACTGCACCTTGGGTTCTCAAGCACTGTGAGGTGGGCAGAACCTTCGCCTGTGTCCAATTTCTTGATTATCTTCTTTAGGTGTGTAGATTTCATTATGTTTATCATATCTTGTAGGTCTATATAAGCGAGTATATACCAAGTTTGTCTTTCTCCTTCTGGGATACTTCACTCAGAATGATCTTTTCTAGATCCCACCACTTGCCTGCAAATTTCATGATTTCCTCCTTTTTGATTACTGAGTAGTATTCCATTGTATAAAAATACCACAATTTCTGTATCCATTCCTCCGTTGATGGACATCTGGGTTGTTTCCAAGTTCTGGCTATTACAAATAAAGCTGCTACGAACATGGTTGAACAAATGTCCTTGTTGTGTACTTGAGCAAATTTTGGGTATATACCTAGGAGTGGTATAGCTGGGTCTTGAGGTAGCACTACTCCTAGTTGTCTGAGAAAGCGCCAGATTGACTTCCAAAGTGGTTGAACCAGTTTACATTCCCACCAGCAATGGAGGAGGGTTCCCTTTTCTCCACAACCTCTCCAGCATGTGCTATCACTTGAGTTTTTCATCTTGGCCATTCTGATGGGTGTAAGGTGAAATCTCAGGGTCGTTTTGATTTGCATTTCCCTAATGGCTAATGAGGTTGAGCACTTCTTTAAGTGTTTCTCTGCCATTCGATGTTCCTCTTTCGAGAATTCTCTGTTTAGCTCTGTTCCCCATTTCTTAAGTGGATTACTTGGTTTGTTGCTTTTCTGCTTCTTTAGTTCTTTATATATACTGGATATTAACCCTCTGTCAGATAAAGGGTTGGTGAAGATTCTTTCCCAATCTGTAGGCTGTCTATTTGTTTTGATGACAGTGTCTTTTGCTTTACAGAAGCTTTTCAGTTTCATGAGGTCCCATTTATTGATTGTTGCTCTTAGAGCCTGTGCTGTTGGTGTTCTGTTCAGGAAGTTGTCTCCTGTGCCAATGAGTTCTAGGCTGTTTCCCACTTTTTTTTTCCAACTGATTTAGAGTATCTGGTTTTATGTTGAGGTCCTTGATCCACTTAGACTTTAGTTTTGTGCAGGGTGATAAATATGGATCTATTTTCATTTTTCTGCATGTAGACATCCAGTTGGTCCAGCACCATTTGTTGAAGACGCTGTCTTTTTTCCATTGAATGGATTTGGCTTCTTTGTCAAATATTGAGTATTCATAGGTGTGTGGGTTTATTTCTGGGTCTTCTATGCGATTCCATTGATCCTCCTTTCTATTTCTATGCCAATACCATGCAGTTTTTATCACTGTTGCCCTGTAGTACAGCTTGAGATCGGGAATGGAGATACTTCCAGATGATCTGTTGTTGTACAGGATCGTTTTGGAGATTCTGGGTTTTTTGTTTCTCCATATGAAGCTGAGAATCTTTTTTTCAAGGTCTGTAAAGAATTGAGTTGGTATTTTGATGGGAATTGCATTGAATCTGTAGATTGCTTTTGGCAGGATGGCCATTTTCACAATGTTAATCCTACCAATCCATGAGCAGGGGAGATCTTTCCATCTTCTGAGATCTTCTTCAATTTCTTTCTTCAGAGACTTGAAGTTTTTCTCAAACAGGTCTTTCACTTGCTTGGTTAGAGTCACACCAAGGTACTTTATGTTATTAGTGGCTATTGTGAAGGGTGTTGTTTCCCTAATTTCTTTCTCAGCCTTTTTGTCTTTGGTATACAAGAGGGCTTCTGATTTTTTGAGTTGATTTTGTATCCTGCCACTTTGCTGAAGGTGTTTATCAGCTGAAGAAGTTCTCTGGTTGAATCTTTGGGGTCGCTCATGTATACTATCATATCATCTGCGAATAGTGACACTTTGACCTCTTCCTTTCCGATTTGTATCCCCTTGATCTCCTTTAGTTGTCTTATTGCTCTGGCTAGGACTTCAAGTACAATGTTAAAGAGATATGGAGAGAGGGGACAGCCTTGTCTTGTTCCTGATTTCAGTGGGATTGATTTAAGTTTCTCTCCATTGAGTTTGATGTTGGCTATAGGCTTGCTTTATATTGCCTTTACTATCTTTAGGTATGTGCCTTGTATCCCTGATCTCTCCAAGACTTTAAACATAAATGGGTGTTTGACTTTGTCAAATGCTTTTTCAGCATCTAAGGAGATGATCATGTGGTTTTTCTCCTTCATTTTGTTTATGTGGTGGATTACATTGATGGATTTCCTTATGTTGAACCACCCTTGCATTCCTGGGATGAAGCCTACTTGGTCATGGTGGATGATATCTTTGATGTGTTCTTGGATTCGGTTTGCAAGTATTTTATTGAGTATTTTTGCATCAATGTTCATAAGAGAGATAGGTCTGAAGTTCTCTTTTTTTGTTGGATCTTTGTGTGGTTTAGGTATCAAAGTGACTATGGCTTCATAGAATGAGTTTGGTAGTGTTCCTTCTTTTTCTATTTTGTGGAATAGTTTGAGGAGAATTGGTGTTAGTACTTCTTTGAAGGTCTTGTAGAATTCTGCGCTGAAGCCATCTGGTCCAGGGCTTTTTTTGGAGGGGAGACTGTTAATGACTGCTTCAATTTCCTTCGGAGATATAGGGCTATTCAGTCTTTCTACCTGATCTTGACTTAATTTTGGTAGATGGAATCTGTCAAGAAAGTTATCCATTTCATTTAGATTTTCAAATTTTGTGCCATATAGGCTTTTGTAGTATGACCTAATAATCGTTTGGATTTCCTCAGTGTCTGTAGTTATGTCCCCATTTTCCTTTCTGATTTTGCTGATTTGTATGATTTCTCTCTGCTTTTTAGTTAGTTTGGCTAAGGGTTTGTCTATCTTGTTGATTTTCTCAAAGAACCAGCTTTTTGTTTCATTGATTCTTTGGATAATTTTATTTGTTTCTAATTGATTGATTTCTGCCCTTAGTTTGATTATTTCCAGCCGTCTGCTCCTCTTGGGTGTATCTGCTTCTTTTTTTTTCTAGGTTTTTCAGTTGGGCCATTAAGTTGTTTGTATGTGATGTTACGGATTTCTTCTTGTAGGCACTTAGTGCTATAAATTTTCCTCTGAGCACTGCTTTCAATGTGTCCCATAAATTTGGGTATGTTGTGCCTTCATTTTCATTGAATTCTAGAAAGTCTTTAATTTCTTTCTTTATTTCTTCCTTGACCCAGCTGTCGTTGAGTAGTAAGTTGTTCAGTTTCCATGTGCATGTCGGCTTTTTGTTGTTTCTGTTGTTGTTGATGTCCAGCTTTAGTCCATGGTGGTCAGATAGTATACAAGGGATTATTTCAATCCTTTTGTATCTGTTGAGGCTTGCTTTGTGACCAACTATATGGTCTATTTTGGAGAAGGTTCCATGTGGTGCTGAAAAGAAGGTGTACTCTTTTGAGTTTGGGTGAAAAGATCTGTAGACGTCTATTAGGTCTATTTGATTTAGGGATTCTGTGAGTGCTTTTATTTCCCTATTTGGTGTCTGTCTGGTTGATCTGTCCCTTGATGAGAGTGGGGTGTTGAAGTCTCCCACTATTAAGGTATTAGGATCAATGTATGATTTAAGCTTTAATATTGTTTCATTTACGAATGTAGGTGCTCTTGTATTTGGGGCATAGATATTCAAAATTGTGATGTCCTCCTGTTGGATTTTTCCTTTGATGAGAATATAGTGGCCCTCCTTATCTTTTTTGATTAACTTCGGTTGAAAGTCTATTTTATTAGATATTAGGATGGCTACTCCAGCTTGTTTTCTGGAACCATTTGCTTGAAAAACATTTTTCCAGCCCTTTACTCTGAGGTAGTGTTTATCTTTGTTGCATAGATGTGTTTCTTGGATGCAACAGAATGTTGGGTCTTGTTTCTGTAACCATTCTGTTAGCCTGTGTCCTTTTATTGGTGAGTTGAGTCCATTAATATTGAAAGATAATATTGACCAATGCATGTTAGTTCCTTTTGTAATGGAGTCGATGATCTTACCTTGTTTCATGGTTTGTTTTCTTTTCATTTTTGTTGGGATATTATCTGTATGCCCTGTTTTCTTGGGTGAATTCGTTTTCGTTGGATTGGAGTTTTCCTTCTAGTATCTTCTGTAGGGTTGGTTTGCTGTATAGATATTGCGTAAATTTAGTTTTGTCATGGAATATTTTGTTTTCTCCATCTATGTTGATTGAAAGCTTTGCAGGGTATAGTAGTCTGGGTTGACATTTGTGATCTCTTAGAGTTCCATGATGCTTGCCCAGGCCCTTCTGGCTTTCATGGTTTCTGATGAGAAGTCTGGTGTGATTCTGATAGGTCTACCTTCATATGTTACTTGGCCTTTTTCCCTTGCTGCTTTTAATATCTTTTCTTTGTTCTGTAGATTTAGTGTTTTGACTATGATGTGACGTGATGTGTTTCTTTTCTAGTCTAGTCTACTTGGTGTTCTGTAGGCCTCTTGTATATTTATGGACATCTCTTTCTTTAAGTTGGGAAAATTTTCTTCTATGATTTTCTTGAAAATATTTTCTGGACCTTGGAGCCTGGAGTCTTCTTTTTCATCAATTCCTATTATTCTTAGATTTTGTCTTTTCATAGCATCCTTGATTTCTTGGATATTTTGTGATTGGAATTTTTCTGATTTTACTTTTTCTTTGAGAGAAGTATCAAGTTCTGCAAGTGTGTCTTCAGCTCCAGAGATTCTCTTTTCCATCTCTTGTATTCTGTTGGTGATGCTTACTTTTGTGGTTCCTGATCTTTTCTCCAAGTTCTCCAGCTCAAGAGTTTTCTCATTTTGTGTTTTCTTTATTGATTCTAATTCTGTTTTTCATGCCTTGCACCATTTCTTTCATGTGTTTGAATTTGGATTCCTGTCTCTCTACGATGGACTCTATTTCTTTGTTCATTTCCTTTTTGTATGCCACTAATTTTTTCTCTACTTGTGCCTCTATTTGTTTGGCTATGTTTGCCTGTGTTTCTTTAAGGCTTTTGTCTATTTCTTCTTTCTTTACCTCCAATTGACTGGCCA